GCTTCCCAGGGACGGGGCACACCCGGATCCGGTCACCGCGCCGGCATCGGTGTTCGGGGAAGGAAGGAAGCGGAGAGCAGGAAGCAAAAGCAGCCAAAGCCCAGCGAAGCCGGGGGGGTTGGGTTCCTGCGCTGCCTTACCCCTTGGGCCCGGCCGCTGCGGGAAGAGCCATGCTGGAGACCGGGCACTGCTTCTTGGCAGGCGGCTCCTCCTCGTCCGACGAGCTGTCCAGAGTCAGATCAATAACCTCCACTTTTTTTTTGCTTTCCGAAGAGTTCTTGCCCTCGGAGCTCACAGTGTAAAGGGAGCTGGCTGCAGGGGAAAACCAGCGATCAGCTTCAGCGAAACGGAGACGGGCAAAACCCCACTGCCTCTACAAGCACTACAACCCCGTGATAGACTCGGGACTTCCGAACGGCTCGTGGCAAATCCACACCCCATCCCGGAGCAGACGCATCATCCCCACGCTAACGGTCAGGTCTCCGTAGCCCAGCTGGAATTAATGTTGCAGTTTCAAGAGGAACCTGCATTTTTCTTGCTTTTTCTAGCACTTACTCCACAGTGGCGTGCTAAGTGCCTGACACGCTCCTGGTATTTCAGCGTGATCCCAAATACCGGCTTCCCAGATGGGATCTGAAACGCTCCGGATGTTGCTTTGTAAATGTAAAGATTGTAAATGTGAACGTTGCTTTGGCAAAATAAGACGTCCAAAAAACCAGAACTGGTGACCGTAGCTCCCATACCCTCGATCCCGCTGAACGCAGACGTCTGGCACACCTCCTGGTTCTCCTTCTTCGGCTTCATGGGGCACCAGGAGCCGTCCTCCATGAACTGTATCTCATCGCAGTCCGTGCAGGAGTTCAGGATTTCCATGAACAACCTGCCGGGTGAGAGCACAAGCTGGGGAGAGCAAATGCGACAACGACTCGCGCGTCAATACGCGCACACAGACGGCGGGAACGACACGGGACAGACGGTGCTCGGGAGATGGGTTAAAGGGGCGCGAAGAATTACTGCTCTAAAATCTGTGCCAGTATCACCTGCAAGTTTTGTTTTATGACGGGCTGTTCAATGTACATAGGAGGGCTCTGTTCAAACCCCGGTAAGCAGGTTCCCTCACTGCTGCCTCTGCAGAGACTGCCAGCAAGGAAGCCAAGATTTTGACAAAGGCTTCTTGTTCTTTGGGAGAAATCTCTCCAGATTGGCATCAAAGCAGTTTAGGGAATGCAAAAAAAAAAATCAGATTTTCAGTTCTTTGAGGCTGTAACTTGTCTATATATGCTAGCATCAGAAGATTAAGCCTTGAAAGAAAACCATTATCCAGGCTAAAGCCCGCGTAAGAAGCCTGCTCAGCTCACCCGTCGATGATCAGGTTGTCGTACGGGGCTTTCTTGTCACACACAGGACAAGTCCACGTGGGTTTCTTCTCGTTCATTTGAAGATAGAGCGCTGCATCGAAGCACTGGAGGTGGGTGCACGTGATGGCTCGGCAGGGCACAATCAGCCTCATCTTACCCAGCTAGGGGACAAGAAGCAAGAAACGAAGTTGGTTTTGTACAAACCACCTCTCGCGGCGCCAAGAAAAGCCAGCGGCATTATTCCCTCTTTATTCCCTTCTCTCCCCTGCCCGGCACTCCAGCCCGGTTAACAAGACGTTAACCTAAAACATCAACGAAGAATTAACGTGCGAGAGAAAACGAGCTCTCCTGAGGGTATTTTTTGCCTTTTCTTTATTTGTTTTAAGCTCACTTCCACCTCAAACACACGCTAAGAGCGAAGGTGAAAGACAAGGATCGGGTCCTTTTTTGGCTAGGCAGTTTAGGCCGACAATCTCAGCAATTTTTTTATGCACGAAAGCAAGCGGTTCTGCTTTTATTTATTCATCAAAGCTGACTTTTCAACAAAAGCAGGGCCGCAGCAGCATTAGCTCTCGTCTCACTCCAAAGCGTTCCTACGCAATGGTAAGGTAAAGCGGGAAGCTGTTCGCCAAAGGCCTGGCCAAGAGAAAAAAGGAACAAAAATATAGAAACCTACTGGACACATCAGGGAAACCCGTAAGCTCGTCGTAGCTATCTCACTGTCAGGATCAGCTGTTAGTTTTTCTTTGACTGAAAGAAGAGGAGGGGGAAAAAAGGTCTCCTGTCAACATCCTCCTTCTTTGACATGCATAAATACGTACAGACATGGTTTATAATTTACGCCATGACACTCATTATCCAAATTACAGGCAGGTAACGCTTACGATGGCAGGCGTTATTGCTACTAGGTTAACAGCTCTGGCAAGAGTCTCCTTGGCTAGACCACGTACACAGCACGGAGACAGTCCCTCAAAGATTTTACAGCCTGCCTGTAAAGCGATGGCACGGGGGAAAGGTGGTTGTAGGGGAACAGCGTACAATTTGGGCGTAAGCAGCTCCCACTGCTTCTCAGAGGACAAAATGTTTTGGAAGTATCACAGCGGAGACAGGCAGCGATCTGAAGAACAGTTTGATTTAAGAGCTCTGTTTAATGGCACCACTGAAAAATAATGCATAATCTTTACAGCCCTTACCTTCCCATCAAGTTCTCATCAACGGGCTCGCGAGAAGGGAGGCACGCACGGACCCGCGCCGCCCTCGCTTGCTGATTCGGACCTGCTCTGCCTTCCCGCGCCCGGCGCAGGATGGGATCGAGCGCAGTCGCACCTTGGCAAGGCGTACTCAAGGCGTACTTACTCAGGGCTCGCGAATGGTCTGGGTTTCGGATGCCCTTGGCTCTGAGCTTCTGCAGCAGCGTTACCGATGTCAGCTGCTTCACCAGGTACACCGACAGAGAGTAGTTCTGTTGAAAAGAAGTTGACACTGCTCCAGACCTAGAAAAACCCACCAGAAAGGAGAGGGCTCTCCTAGATCTGCACAGCTCGACGCTGCTGCAAAATACACCTCGGTTCTGCGAACAACTGGTAGTGAAGGAACAGCAGCGAACGGGGAAAATGGTTTTCCCCTCACTCACCCTGCCAAACTCCGAGGACCAGTTCACTACAATCGTGTTCGGGACGGTCGCCGAAAGTCGTGCCAGTGGAGTTATATTGACGGGGCGGCTGGGTCGTTTCGGCTCTGCGCCGTTTTTTGTGGGCGGGAGATAACCCTGCGAAGAAAGAGAGATTACCTGGCTTCAAATAAATTCCCTCTGAGGTGTAAGGCCGCACACGAGAATCTACAAACCCGATCTCTTCGCGGCACGCTGTACCTCAAGACGTTTCACGTCACACCTTAGAGCTTGGATGGGACTTTATCTACAAATCTCAAAGTATCATTATTATAATACGTTATATTAAAACTATTGCTAACGTGCACGCCATGAGGCGTGCAGGGGCAGGGCTAGTTTTCTTCAGCCCAGATGACAATCTAAGGTATCCAGAGTCGCGGTGTCAAAGGCAAAGCGTACATTATTATTCCCCAATGTCAAGAAATGGGAGAATTAAGGTTCCCTCTAATACCCTTACGCTGACAAGCACAGTGAAATCCCGTCGTAAGCTGAACCTCTCCGCAAACGCAGAACTGTCAGCCCAGGATGTGCTGCGCACAAATGGCGTTGAAGTAAAAAAACCCAGTTCAACGAGGCTGGGAAGCTAAAAAAAATTACATCCCGTGACAAATCTCACGTAGATCTCGTTTTTGCTTCGTTGCATCCCCATCCCGACTTGATTAGAAACCCATTATTCAGCCCGAGAGTGCCTTTTCCGTAATTCCGATTTACACCACCCTCATTTTTCTCATCGCTCTCAGACCGGGCAGCTGGAGGCCGATTCAGCAGCCACCCAGCAGTTTAAGGAGAAGTAAACCAAAAATAAGCGTTCCCGCTGCGGCGCGCGCAGCACGCAGCCCGTACAAACAGCTTCTCAGCTGCAGATGACTCATCCGAACGAGCGCAAAAAACCTTATCTGAGAGCAGAAGCTGGGGGGGGACACCCCCTTTAGCCATCTCACACCTCACACGCGCTTCCCTCTTTCTGCCCCAGGAGGCCGGAAGCGACCTCTGGGTTTTTTTGTTGTTTGTTTTAAAGCAGGTTGCTAATCGTCTCGGCCAAAACCAGACAGAATATCTGAGGCAAAAAAAAAAAAAAAATGAAAATGGCTAAAAAAAATATTAAGGGAGTGGCTCAGGCAGAGCATTAGAGGCTGTTCTGCAGGTTCGGCTGCAAAAAGTGCCAGCTATAATGGAGCGAAGCCAGCGTGGGACAGCTGGCAGGGAACTGGCCCTAAGACTGTCAAACCTCCGACACATCTCCTCGGCGTGACACTGAATCGCATCCCTTTTCGGGCTGCAAAGTGGGGCAAGCGCTGCTTCTTACTATATATTTTTTTTTTTTTTTTTTGCATACGCATCACCCAGCACAAAGGTCCCCAAGCTTTGACTGGAGCAGGTCTTCGTGCAACGTGATAAAGGCAGTACCGTTATTCCATTAAACTCAGATTGTACTCTGCATCTTTATCATCAAATTTCTCATCAAAAGAGGCGTTCCAAAAAAGGAGAGGGAATCTGCTGGTTAAAAAAAAAAATAATCAGGCCCAAAGTTTTGCGTATTCTTCTACTTAAAGACCACACTCCTTGAATCAAAGAGCAGCTTTCATCACCAATCCACAGCCCTGTAACATGAAATCAGTTTTGCACTCTTAACCACCCCATTTCTTCAAATCGGTCTTTAATCTCCGGAAAATACGTTCCCACTGCACTCACTGGGAGCTGCAGCTGTGTAAAAGGGCAGACGTTAGGCTACAACATATTAAGAAGAAATAAGATTTACTCACAGGCAGGGGACAGAGTTTTCCATTGACCTTGACAAATAAATTAGGAGGGAAGTAATCTTCTTGGGGACAGCTGGTTTCACACAAGCAAAACCTAAGAAGCAGGAGGGAGAAACTGGCAAGTGAGTGGTGACACTCGCAAAAAACGGCGGCCAAACTTCCCTTTAAAAAGGGAAAAACATTTTCCAAGCAGAACAGATCGACGGCTGGAAAACACATCAGCAGACAAACAGCCCTGCACGCGTTTCGAACCCTACGCGCGGCACAAGCGATACGAGAAAGAAGGCAGAAAAACAAACGCCAGCGACTTCAAACGATGGCTAACTCGCACGCCATGAAGCGTGCAGGGGCAGGGCTAATTTTCTTCAGCCCAGATGACAATCTAAGCTATCCAGAGTCGCGGCGTCAAAGGCAAAGTGTATTTCTCCGGCCTAACACCATTCCAAAGGATGACGCAGACCGAGCTCCGGGTTCAAGCGTTAGGGAGAGCGAAGCCGGGCGCCGTTTAGGACGAAGGAGGACTGCAGCTCCCTCCGGCCACGCCGAGAGAATTCCCACACCAGCAGCGGCGTATCAGGCGGCTTAATCCAGGTTTGGGTGCGTTCACGTGCAGCTTCACCCACGGATTCCGCAGCGCTTCAGGATGAAAGGAGCTACATCTGTTTAAGTCACAGAATCATGGAATGCTTTGGGAAGGGCCCTTTAGAGCCCATCCAGCCCAACCCCTGCAGCAAGCAGGGACAGCTTTAACCAGACCAGGGTGCTCAGAGCCCCACCATCAACCCCAAGTCACCCAACCAAAGCACCTGAGGAACTAAAAAGTAATATTTGACCCAAAGTGCATCTGGCAGTAGGACAGACTGGTTACTGCTTGGACTCTCTCAAAGCTCATCTGCCACCACTCGATATCCTACCGTTGCCTCCCTCCTCGCAGAATCGTTTGGGTTGGGAAAGAGCTTTAAGATCATCGAGTCCAACCATCAGCACCGGCAACACAGCACGGGCGCTGGTTCAAATCCTAATCCTAATTCTCCTCGCAGAATCGTTTGGGTTGGAAGAGACCTTTAAGTTCATCAAGTCCAACCATCGGCACCGGCAACCCAGAACAGGCTCTGGTTCAAATCCTAATCCTAATTCTCCTCGCAGAATCGTTTGGGTTGGACGAGCCCTTTAAGTTCATCGAGTCCAACCATCGGCACCAGCAACCCAGAACGGGCACTGGTTCAAATCCTAATCCTAATTCTCCTTGCAGAATCATTTGGGTTGGAAGAGACCTTTAAAATCATGAAGTCCAACTGTTGGCACTGGCAACCCAGAACAGGCTCTGGTTCAAATCCTAATCCTAATTCTCCTTGCAGAATCGTTTGGGTTGGGAAAGACCTTTAAGATCATCAAGTCCAACCGTTGGCACTGGCAACCCAGAACGGGCGCTGGTTCAAATCCTAATCCTAAATCTTGCAGAATCGTTTGGGTTGGGAAAGACCTTTAAGTTCATTGAGTCCCAACCGTCAGCACCACCAACCCAGAACGGGCTCCGGTTCAAATCCTAATCCTAAATCTCCTCGCAGAATCGTTCGGGTTGGGAAAGACCTTTAAGTTCATCGAGTCCAACCATCGGCACCAGCAACCCAGAACGGGCACTGGTTCAAATCCTAATCCCATTTAATCAGACGGCCGCGCGCTCCGTCTTCTCTCGAAGGAGGGTGCTCCGCCAGAGCCGGCTCCCCACGCCGAAACCGCGGTCCTGCCGCGCAGCCGTGAGTCAGACCGTGACCTCGGCCGGCTTTTTCTGAGCTGCGAGATCAAGCCCTGGCACGTCACGCCGATGCAGAGCCGCACCACCAATGTTCTCGAAAAATAAATCCCATCTTACTGTTTTTTAACCTCTCGCTGCTCGCCAAATAAAACAAAGAATAAAATTGAGAGTTAATCTTTTTCTTGCTTGGGAACATGAGAATACCGCATACGTTGAAGCGCATCGGCGGGAGAAAAGAAACGATCCCACCATCGTTTTTAAGTCCTGCACTGGAGTTTGCTGAACAAGGGTTCACTTCTTCAGGTGAAGGGACGCGCTCTGGACACCCCAGGAGCCTCCTGGAAGTTTCTGGGTGGACTATTTGGTAAATTCGGTTTCATCTCCAACGTCCGAAACACAGTAAGAGCCACGCAGACCCAACCCGGCCCTTCAAAAACACACGCGGGGTTTTTTTTTCCGCGCTACAGAAGAGCCATTTCCAAGCATCCACCTCCTGATGCATTTCGGGGAACAGGACGCCCACATACTTCGCTCCACCAGCTCTGCGCCCAAGAGCGGAACAGATGGACACAGCAGGAAAACTGCGACTGTAAAGCCCTGAATCAGAGAGACGTTGTCACAGAATCATAATTAATACAGACCGCCCTCCTGAAAACCAGCAGGCTCTCTTTTGAATTAAATCGAAGTCTTCAATTTCAAACAACCACGTTTCTTCAGACTTCCAGGTATCACAACTGAAGCCCGAAACTCATCATTTCCCCCCCCCCCCCCCCAGCACCTCCGCAGATCC